TTTCTGAACCAACCTGTAAATCTTGAAAAATATCATCAAGACGTTACACCAGCCACTTGTGCTCCTACCCCGAAGAAGGTTGAAAAGAAGTATTTTGTTCCCTTTGTGGGCACAGAATATTTGTTCTCGCAACCAAACCCAAAACTCCCTGCTTGTCCAAGTGGTCATGGAGTGAAATACGTTTCACTATGGTACGGGCAAGGATGACAAGAGACTAGATCTCTTTGGCAGAAAGAGCTTTTCTCCAGCCACTCTACTCTTCCATGTTGCAAACTGCCAGGAACCCACATCGAAATATGACGTTATTAACTGTAACAATCTCTTGGCGTTCATCAGTAAATTACCCCAGGAATGTAGGCCCCAATTCCAGCTATTCTAGATGAAGGAAAACTAGAGGCCAGGTAATCCATTCAGGCTTCACTGATTGCAGCAGATGTAGCTTCTCACTCCATGGCGATCTTAGTGGTTGCTAGAGGGGCTTCTTGCTTGCAGGCATTGGGTTTCCCAAAGGATGTACGGGTGGTGGTAGATATCCCCTTCAAAGGCAACAACCTTTTCACTGAAAGAACTGATGAATCACTTCACTCACTTAAAGACTCGGGTGCCACCCTGCATTCCTTTGGAATATACACCCCGGCACATCACAGAAAATATTCCAAGCTGCCACAGTACAGATACCAGCCAAGCCCACAGCTGCTCTATCCCCAGGAGTCCTATGAGCCACTGAGAAAGTACCAGATGGTATAGTGTGCAAGACATACTGCACCACTGTTCCTTCTCCAGACACAGCTGTCTACCAAGCCGTCATTTGGAGAGACGATCAAGAGCCATCAACCAGTCCTCACACAACCAGTCTTCCCCACCCCCTTTGGTGGCCGCCTGGCCTGTTTTCTTCCAATGTGGCAGCACTTAACTACGGACAAATAGGTCTTAGACAACACCTCAACACAATTGAGTTCCTGTCTACCCCTTTTCCAAAACTTCCCTCACCGTTCCTCTGCAAGGATTCTTCTCATGAGAGGCTTCTCAGGCAGGAGGTAGATTCCCTAATCCACCTACCAGCTATAGAGCCAGTAGCTCCTCAATGCAAGGGGAAGGGCTTTTATTCCAAATACCTCCCAATGCCCAGAAAGGAGGAGGGGTGGACCCATCCTGGACCTCAGGCAGTTGCATGTCTTCATCCACCACTCAGGATGCAGGCTGATTATCCTGGCTGTCATAATTCCCTCTCTGAATGAAGGTGACTGGTTTGCAGTTTTTGATTTAAGACACGCTATCCACCCAGCGCACTGGAGATACCTGCGTTCTATGGTGGGATGAGACCATTTCCAATACAAGGTGCTCCACTTTGTCCTTTCAACAGCCCCGCAGGTTTTTACAAAGGTCAAGTCTGTAGTGGCAGCACATCTATGCCATTAATGCTATCATGTATTATCCTATTTAGACATCTGGCTCCTCAAGGGACAGTCATATCAGGAAGTGCAAATAGCAGTCACACTGCGGACCCACAGTGAATTTTCATAGGGACCTCACATATTGAAGAACTCCAGTTGTTATAAGATCGGTAACCTTCCTTTACCTAGCATATATCATTACTAAATACAGAGGACCCAATTCTCCTTTATGCTGGCAGTGTTAAGGTGCCTTAGAACGGGCGCAAAACACATCTGCACCTACACCCACTTTAAGGCACCTTAACACTCCCAGAGTGGTGTAAAGTAACTTAAAAGGAGAATGAGGCTGTCACAGTCTGGGCTGCAATCCAGACCAGTGATGGTCTTTGTCACCACCTGCCCTGCAACCTTGGGTTCCTCCCAATGCTTTGCTGGTATAGCTCCCAACCTGGGCCTCTCAAACAGCATGCAGGTCACTCCCTGAGTGTCTGTGTATAGCTACAGCCTGCCAGCCACCCTCCAGTCAACACTTTGGCTTCCACCAGCCTTGGTTATCGCTTGCAGGATGGCCTTAACACACTCCCAGTTCCAGTTTTTTTCCCCAAAAATGTGTGTTGTGCACTATCCAGCCCTCTCCTGGACAGTTCAGATAGTACAGGCCCGTGGCCCCTGCGAGGGGGTCAATGTATAACAGTTTGCTACTTTTACTGGCGTTACCAGATAATTCAGTTTAAACACAACACTGGATTAGTTTTGATTAAAGAATGAAACAAATTTATTTAACGATAAAGAGAGATATCAGAAGTGAGTACAGGTATAAGGTGTTAAAGTCAGAAATGATGACGAGAAATAAAGATAAAATGCTTTCTAGTAACTAAAACTTAACAGGTTAGACTTGGTTCAAGGTAAAATCCTTACCACGTGTTCCCTGCAACAGAGCTGACCAAATTCTCTGGTCAGAACCCCTCCCAAAGTCCATCAGGATGGTTCCTTTTACTCCGGGGGGAATTGTGCACCAAAATATTAAAAATTCTGCACACAATATTTTAAAATTTGAAAAAATCTGCTTATTTTATTTGTCAAAATAACACAATATAATCACACCAGTTTCAATTATTTTGGCAATTTATTTAAAAATACCTGTCAGGAAGTATGTCTGTAACAATACAGACAACAAAAAAGATTCGGGATTTTTTTTTTTTTTTTGGACAGGTTCCTTACTAGACATATTAATACAGAACTCTGAGTAATAATTCATTTAAACTACAATACTGAAACGTATTTTCCGCACCCCTCAGAAGCAGTGCAAAGGCTTGGGGGAGTCAAGGGTAAGAGAGGAGCTGAGGGAGAGGGAAGTAATTGCTGGGAAGGAGCTTGGGTGTGAGGGTTGTTGGATATGGGTGGAAAAGTATGGAACAGGGTTTTGGGGGAGGGGACAGGGGGAGGGATTCTTAGGGAGCTTCCCCCATGCAGACCCTGGCTGACCTCTAGCCTCTCCCATTCAGTCAGGCACATCTGCCCATCCCTATGTGTCCTGCACCCCCATGTGTCATTGCACCCCCCATTCCCATGTGTCCCTGCACCTCCACCCCCTGTCCTTGTGTCTCTATGCCGCCACATAGCGGCCCCCTTCCCCCATGTGTTCCTGCACCCCGCCCCTGTCCCCATGTGTCTCTGTGCACCCACTCAGTCACCTCACTTCCCCCATGAGGCCCTGCACTCCATTCCCCCATGGCCCTGTGCCTCCACTCCCATTCAGCCCCTGCCCTTGTCTGTCCTCCTCCACTAGCCCTTATGAACCCCTGTTTGTGCCCCCCGCCATGTGCCCATGCTGTCTGTCTCCCCATATCCTGTGTCTCCTGACCTGGACTGAGAGGTGCTGTGAAGAAGGCACTGCAGCCTTTCTCTTTCCTATGGTAGCTGGGGCTGTCTGGGAGTGGCTGCTCTGTTCTAGCGCCACAGCGCCCTCTTGTGGGGAAAAAGGCAGAACTGCAAGAACTTTCTGGGTAGAAGTTATTTTCTGGGGGGGGATTATGCACAGCACTTGAATTATGTGTGCACGCTAGGGTGACCAGACAGCAAGAGTGAAAAATCGGGACGGGGGTGGGGGGGTGAGGGAGAGGGGGGGTTAATAGGAGCCTATATAAGGAAAAGACCCAAAAATCGGGACTGTCCCTATAAAATCGGGACATCTGGTCACCCTAGCGCACGCAGTGGCACAGAATTCCCCCAGGAGTATCCTTTGTCATCTTTGGTGAATGAGAGAGAGAATGAGATTCCCTGGTGTGTTTTTGCACCTCATTTTTATACTCCAGTCCCCCTTTGAAGTGGATTCTTCTGAGGGTTTCCTCTCAAAGCAAAGCTTATCCAAACAGTAAAGAAGGCGACAGGAGTCTGGGGGTGAAGGTGCACTCATGCTCTTTTCTTCTCTCCTGCGTATGCTGACATGTAGATTTGCCTTGTCTCCCTCTTGCTGTCTCAAGGACCCTGTTTACTACTTATAGTCACTTGAGGTAAACACATGCTCCTTTGTGTAAGATAGACCTGCTGCCTAATCAGGGCTATGTGGGTTTGAACATGTGCTACCAACGTCATATGGGGGGAGCTCATAACTCTACATATAATGTTGCTACATACATTTCACCATGATAGTATTGACCAGTGAATGACTAGTTTTCAAATTATACCTCACAGGGCATATTTTGTGCAAAGATTATTACACAAGTATGTGGGGTGTGAATACAGGGTTGCACTTGGTCACACGGGCCCAAAGCTTTTGTTACTATATATTTGATGTGTTACATTACCCTCACAAGTCATCACTATTTTTGTAGTTAAAATGCAGAGATGGGCTGTCTGTGCAAAGTTAAAAGATGAACTACAAATGAAAGCTCCAAAGTCCATCTGCTTCCACGATTTATGTTGAATGCCAGCACATAATACTGGTGAACATGGACTTCTTTTGGAGTTCGTCTTTACGAAGTCCTGTACAGGAGTATCATGTACAAACTAACATAAATATAATAACAACATGGAGTTGGTCATGAAAAGTTGGCAGCAGATTCTAGAGGAACCAAAATACTTTGCCACTCGCAAGTCATTGAATGCGCTGTTTACTGCTTCCTGAAATGCAGTAAGTGTAAATGAGACGAGGGGAGTATTTCACCATATTGCTTTAACTCAAATCCATAGCTGATGTTTATTTTCAGCATGTGCCTCCTTGTGTGTTTACGTTCTCTTCCACACGTAAGCAATATTCTTTTATTTCTCAGGTCTCCAGCTGTGTCACAATATAAATGGCTGCCCCTGTATGCTTGTAATTTATTGTTTAGCTTTGTATTTTCTGTTGTGCTTCTGTGGCCTACTCAGATGCCATCAAGACTTCAAATTTGTTTCACATTGGCTTCATAGGACATTTTCCGTGACTATTTCCTTGTAGCATGCCACAAAATAGATAATGTATTAGTGCAACAGCAGCAGCAGTTTATGGTTCTGTAGAATAAGACAATTAAATGACTTCATCCACGAGTTTCATCCTTTCTAGTCTCAAAAATCTACCATTTTGCATATAATTATGGATGTTTTTCTGTTTGTTTTTTTTTGTAGAAGTCAGAGGGCAGCGCCTCTCCCACGTGATGGACAGCCAAAAGAAATGTCTCAGGCTCCGGTGCTTATTTCCTGCGCCGACCAGTGAAGCTCCACCTTATTGTAAAACATTGTGCTTTACCTAATATCCTAGCCTTGTCTTTACCAAGGGAAGCTAGTCAGTCCATATGATGGAAAATATAGACCTGCAAACAAGTGCTTCTTGCTGTGAGTGGCCCAGATTTCACTTGAAGCCAGAAGTTAGCAACTTGGGCCAAGTCCTCCAATTGGAACCCAGAATCTAGGAAGGTGGTGTTATTTGTCTAATAATGAAAAGAAATGGAATGATCCTGGAGCTTGCTTTCTATTGAAGGCTTTTAAACAGTAAATAGGTGGTTTGTGTGAAAAAGGCTGCCTTTACAGTAGCTCACACAGCATCTCTTCTATCAACCAGAGGGTCTGGAAACTAGTTTCATATAATACCTAGTTATTCTAAACAAAAATACAAAAAAAAAAAAAAAAAACACTGACGCACTGCACTAGTTATTAGATATTCTTAGTCATTTTTGTACATGAAGATTTAAGTTCTAAGATGGTTTATATAATAGGTTATGCCTACATTTATATTGTAGAATGAATTTAAAAACCTGTTCTGGAGAACTCAAGGCAGCGTGGACAGATGTACCATTGTTAGCGGTGTTTGCTCAACCATGTGGTCCAGATGTTCTGCACTTTTATATTTGCCACCACAGTGGTAGAGTTTACTGGCAAAAATTCTGACAGGCTGTGTTTGATTTTGTTGTTTGTTTGTTTTTTTAATTTAGCATTGAATAACCAGAATGATTTGCATTAGAAAAAAGAGTGGCATATGGGAAAGAACAATACTGCAGATTATGGACTGGTCTTTCATGCATTGGAGGGTTCCTTTATTCTGCATAGAGGTCTAAATGACTGGGTGAAATGCTCATGTAAACAAAAAAAAAAGTACTACAAATACATTGTTCAGAAGTGACCTTAGTATTACTTCACTATTCTAAAAACCTTGAAAACATGACTTCAGTATACATGCACACTGATATACATACCTTTTACATTTGACAGACACTGGAATTGTTGTAATTACTATGCGCAATCTAAATTGGCTTTGTAGATTGTATAAAAAGAGCCAGTTATAGTTTGTGTTGGTAAAGTGGTAAGTTGTATGCAAGAAAACCAGGATTGAAGAATAATGTTTGACTAAAGTTAGGCTATTAAGCAGAGATCCACCTGCCAGTTCCTGTCTTTGCTTTTGTTTTCTTTATGTATTCTGCTCTCATAAATACATCCCAAAAGCCAGCACCAAGTGTATCACTTGGACTATATCTTCACTATATTGACTTAAAATATTGCATAAGCCAGGTGGTTGTTTCCTACCAACAGATGCAAAATGATTACTAGAAATTAGTCTGAAGCTACAAATTCAACAGGGTACTTCTTTCATAGCACAAGATGTTTCCCTACGTTTTGCGTCCTAGCACAAAGATTGACCAGATTGGACCCCAGCAATAACTTTCTATTAGTCTTCTTCATACTGGCTGAAGTTTTGATAGTATTAGGTTGAGTTTGAAGCTCTTGAATTAAGTCTTTAAATAATGAGAGTTTACATGGTTCTATCAGGCATTCTTATTTATACTTGACTGAATTGATGTGTTTTTTTGGGGTGGGGAGGGATTTGTAATTCTAATTTGATGTAATAGCCATATGGAAAGTAACTCTATTAATAGTTGCTAGATTTTAGCCTTTTGTTGCTGTAGATAAGTGCAGATCTTCAGTTTAAATGTTGGGAAATGCTATACAACATAACACACTAGTTGTAACAAATGATGACGTATTGATAAAAAGCAGGTAGCTTGGAAAATATGATTAAAATGCATGTAAAATATCACCCTCAAAGATGCTGGAGGAGGATATGTTGGAGGAAGGGAAGAAAAAAGAAATAAACTTTAATAGTAATAAGAGAGTTAAAAGGCTTTTTAAACTTCAGGTAGAAATAAGACTGGTAAAGAGCCCCCTATTATGCCATTGTAGCATGTGGCAATATTTTTATTAAAATTTTATTAACGTTTTCTAAATTATTTTAACAAAACAGAAAAACTGTCAACATTTAAAACTGTTGGGTCACAGTGAGGTGGCTGTTGAAGTTTTGGACCACTTTATAAATTATAATTAGCTGAAATCCAAATATTGTATGGTGCAGGCCATTCACCTTGACAATGGTACTAACTTATTTCTCTAGAACCCAGTAGAATAGATATATTTTTGCCAGAGCACCCCATCATTCTTCAATTTAAATTTCAGTATTGTTCCTTAAGATATTTCTGTATATTAATGGTACCTTTTTTAAAAGAAAAAAAATTACTTTTTTCTATGTGAATCAATATCTTACTTGATCTGCTTTTCCTTAGAGAGGGGTTGGGGCTGGGTCAATTTCCTGGATATGACTGTTTTCAGATACTTATAAACCTTTTTGTAGATATGCTTAATTTTTAAGCAGTTAGGCACTGAGAGTAGCAGAAATCCTGCAAAGCTTTATAGTTCATTAGGCATTTGCCTTTGTTGGTTCTCGGAGTGATGTCTTGATTTCAGTAGCAAGAATTTTCCCTGAATCTACTGGAAAGGGTAGCAGTATTTTCAGGTAACAAAATTTGTTAGCACAAGAAAATTTCAGACCAACATTTTACTGTATTGGGTTTGTTTTTGTTTTTTAATTTTTATTATTTTCAATTGCTTTCATTCTGGAAAATTGGATTGCTGTGGTATGTACTTCAGCAAATACTTTCACCCATTAACATATGTCCACAAATGCTTCTAGAGAAGAAATTGTTGCACCTTATGTATATCTCGAGCAAACCAAAATATGATACTTTTCTGCTTTGTTTATTCTAATTATGTTGTATCATTCATTACTGAACTCATTCTCACTTAGCTAAACCTGTAGATATTTTTGCATTTAAACTTAATTTCTGGATCTGAACCTATGTATAAATCTTTCTTTTAAAAAACAAAAAGCAATTATCCCAGTCCTCTCTGAATTCTTGATGGGAGTGAGGAATCTTGTCTCAAGTGTAAAATGCAGTACTGTTCCAGTTTTCTTTTGCTTTTATTTATTTGGTGATCTTTGATATTTTATGTGTAGTTTTGAGGTATACAAATTGTATTATAGTAGCTAAAGCTACAGACATAAGCAGCTGGGAGAAAAATACTGTAATGTTTTTTTAATTGTTTCAGTACTGTAAATGAATACGGGAAGAATGTTCTGCAGAGCATTTGAGATGCAGGTTCTGATCCCCACGTTGTCTTATAGTCCAGATTAGACCAATATTGATCAAAAACGGTATGGAGATTAAATCATGCTGTTGTAATTATGGCAGTATTTATCCCTTGAATGTGCTGTAATTCCAGACATCGAATATATTTATTTAAGATGCTTGAATGCTCTTTTATACTAATTCAGTGTCCCAAAGTCATGAGCAAAGGATTTTTTGTTAGTTTCAATTCCCAGTTTATAGTGTCAGTGCATGAGTTTTGAAATAGAAAATAAACATTGGGTGCAGGGACAAGGGATTGACAGAACCATATGAGCTGGTATTTAAATTTCAACTCTTTTTTGTCATTTTACCCCCTTATTTAATTGAGTGACACTCTGTCTATGTAGCATGAAACTGGTAGGCACTGTGCAGTCTTTGGCTCTATGTATTGCCACTTTGCATCCATGTCAAAACCCAAGAGAGTTGTAACTTGCCCCAGAATAAGGACATACATTAATCTGGATGACATCTTTAATGATAAAGGGGACATCTTTTAGTATGAGGCATTAATGTGAACCAGTTCTAAACTGTGCTGCCTATTTAGCTACTGGACAAATACTGGACTATGCTCTAAAGCCATAAACTTGAGACAGTTAAGAGGGTGTCAAAGAAAAGAAGGCCTCTTCTCGGCATGGTGAAGTTATGGCAACAAAGGAGAGGTAAAAGGCTTTACATTCTGTAAAAGAAAAAATAGGATGATAAATAATTCATTGGGTTTGCATGATGCTATTGTGAGTGTTGGCGGCACCTCTCCAGATGAATGCTAATTTTAATAGGGCTTCCTCTACTAAAAGGCTACTTTGGTGGACTTCCATTTGCTTTCCGTTTTCATTTTCAATGGAATGTAATCTGTTCAGCCATCAACGCCATTTTTATATCATGGTATGTTTTAATTTCCAAGCACAATATTTATACAGAGGGAACAGTGTAACACAAAATATACAGTGAAAGCTGTACTGTTTATATTGCTGTTATGCTTTTGACTTGTGTCATAGTCATATAGATTGTCAGACATTGTCATTTAGCTCTTATTGGTTCAATAAGATGGTTTTTGTGACAACAGAAAATGTAGAGCTCATCAGGTGATTAACTTCAGATATTCCCAAAGGAAATGCAGTAATCCAAAAGCTGCTTTTAATAGTGAGTGGGTTACCTTCACTATATCACGATTTCACCTGAAAACATAATTGTGCAACTCATATGTCATAAACCATGTTTTATCCATTAGACAATCTTTCCTGTGCTTGTTAGATTGTAGAGTTTCTAGATATCTTTGTCACATTTTGTAATATTTCCAGCATTGATTCTCTTTACCTTGTACATGTATGAAAGAGTCAGCTACAACTGTCAGAACATGAAGTCATTTCAGGTCATACAGAGCTGTAAATTAATGCATTTAGGCTGTGGCAGAGAAGTTTGCCTCTTCCCCTCAATTCCCCAATAAAAAGTCACAGTGAGGTTTACACTTCTCAATTAAATACCAAGTTAGTCTTGCAAATTTTCTAATAATTAAATTTACATCTTTGAAGAAGATTGTAGAGAGGACACACTGTACTTAAACTTGTCTGCTGCTCATTAAGGCAGCGATCCAGAGAGAGCCAATTTTATCCCCTAATTCTGCAAAGTATGTAAACTCAAACTTACTAAACTCTTCAGCACATGCTTAAATGTTAAGCATGTGTTTGTGTGCTGACATGACTGTGGATGTTTCCGTGAATTGGGGCCTTAATTCACATTGGACTTTAAACAAATACTAACATTTTAACAGTCATTAAGATTTTCCAGAGAATTATTTTCTAATTACTGGATTCTGATTGTGTTATCAAGTACCAGGTAGAAACTCTCCATATGCTTCAGTGGAAAAAAGATGTGTTACCTCACAATCTGTAATAGAAATTACTTGCCTAAACATGCCTCCTAAAATAACACTCTAATCCTACCCTTTTTACTCACAGAAGTAAAACAATCCCCCTTCCCCCTCCCCTCCCAAATCATCTTCACACCAGTGGCTGGAACTTTGAAAGTGACCAAAGAAATGTATGTAATGCAGAGCAGTGACCTGCAACTTTTTCTGTATGAACTAGGTATTTTACACTCGGGAGTTCAACTGTAAGACAGCCTGAGGTTTCTCACACTGTCTTATGAACTTTATTTTCATAGGTTTCAATCTTTCCCTGGCATATCACATGGTAGGATGAGATTTTTCAAAGTGGCTAAAGTGAGTAAGGAATACAAACCCCATTGAGCTACTCACTTAGCCACGTTAGAAAATCCTATCCCTAAACAGAGTTTGCTTTGGCCATCACGTCTTTCAGTCTATCAAAAGCTGAAACATGACTGAATTTCTATTGTCTGTTTTCATAGGGCCTGATCCTTCAACCTTTATTCTCACACATAATTCCATTGACTTCTGGTCCATAATTTGTCTTTATTTGCTCTAAAGTTTGGTGTAAACATGCTTTGTAGTAATTATTTCCATTCAGTGGTCTAATAGAGCTCTTGCCTTCTTAGATGTGTGTCGTTAAAGTTAATAATCACATTTATAAAATGCCTTTCTTCAAAAACTTATACCTAATTTGATATTTTTTAAAATGCACATGTTAATTCATGTGTCTAACATGCTAAAGTATATTAACTGTGATCATGAAACTGAATAAAATATTTGAAAACAACCTTTCAAATAGATTACTTTATATTCACTCTATTTTAGCTATCCAATATGTACTTGTAAATAATTTCCCATTTTAAATTAATGGATGCAAATAAATACTTTAAGAAAGTTGAGCTTTTTTGATATTTCACCTGTGCTTGTTTACCTTAATGTGACTAATGCAGTAATTTATTAGTCTGGCAGTGAATGAATTCTACTAAAATTCAGATTTTTTTTTTTTTTTTTTTAAACTGAAAAATCTTGTTAGCCCCCTGAAAAAAACAGGTTATTCAGAAACATAAACTGAACTAGATTGTCCAAACTGCATGCTATAATTTCTGTTTTCTTTAAAACCAACAATGTAACTACTCCAGTAGTCAATCGAAAATATGTTGGCTGGGAGTGGTGGTGTTTTAAATATTGGTTTTGTTACACAGAAAACATGCCCAAACCAGCGTAGTTTAGACTGCTCATTTTGACAAGCTGAGCTTCCAGTTTGTTTTTAAAACTCTAGGGCCTAATCCAGCACCATTGAAATGAGTGGAATGACCCCTACAGATCTCAACAGGCTTTGGATCTGGCTCTTACTGTGTGCTAATGCTGGCAAAGCACCATTGATTTCAGTAGAAATACACTAGTGTAAAACTGGAGTAGCAGAGTGAAGAATCAGGCCCTTTGTCTATCTCTGCTTTCTTGGATTTCGTCTTACACACCTGGTTGCACATTTTATCTACAGCCCACAGACAATTAACTGAAATCATCTTTACATAACAAAGCCCTTACTTCATCTGTAGTCGTAGGACAGCAAGGGATTTATTTTTAAAAAATGGATCCTTATTTAAAAATGTAATACTGATTGATTATTGCTTAGGGTTTATATTGTGGTAGCACCTCCAGGCCACAACCAGGTTGGGCCCCATTTGAACTTGGATTGTATTCAGTCCATACAGTTCCCCCCCCCCCCCCCGATATGCTTGAAAACGTAGATTCTTGGGATCCAATCCTCCACTCTTCATGGACCTGAAACTTCCATTGACTTTAGTGGGATGTTTTTGGTGTGCAAGGAATGCAAGATTGTGCCCTCTCTGGATAGTATATAGAAGATAATACTCAGGGAACTGTGGCTGAAGGTGGGGTTTTGTGAATGCACATGTGCTCTTCTGGCCACAGCAGGTGCATGCCTATTGAAACCAGTGGAAGCCCTTTATACCTATGACAGCAGAACTCACTGCATATAAGAGAGTCAAAAACAGTGGGAGAGAGTCCCTCACTCTTTTTTTTAATACTTATTCTGTCCTCATTTACACAAGGGAGCGGAACATGTGAGCTGTCCTTCGTCTCCTATGTCTGAAAGCTCTAGGCTCCCTACAAAGACATGCCAGGCTTTGAACAGATGCAGGCAATGTTACAGGGATGAAGAGATCACATGGAAAAAAGGAAGGGCTTGTTATAATGAAAGAGAAATGCCAAGGGTATATTTTCTTATCAGGAGAGCTCTAAATCTTCCACCTAATATTCTAAGTCTGTCACACTAGGGAATTTTAAATCACCATCCTTTTTCGATTACACAGTAACTCTAAAACATGATTATCTTTGCTTCATTACTCAGATTCTGTCTTTTTTTTGTCTGCTTTCATTTTGTTCTTACCCTCAAAACAACTTCTTAGCAAGATATTTTAAATTGGCTCCAAGTGCATAAGACCTCTTCTGAAACCCAGCTCTCACTTGCCTTGTGTCTGCCAGCTGCATGGCATTACATTTACGTTGTCAGTTGAGAGAGACACGTCCCTTTGTCACTCTACACCGTTGACCCATTTTCCCACCATTTGTCCATTTCTTTAATACGCAACTAATCCTTTCAAAACAGAAATTTTTTTTCAAGTGGAAAAAGCATAGTTTGAATACAAAAGATATACGCGAGCATTCCATAAGCAGCCTAAAAATCATGGAATAACCAGTTCCTAAGTAGGATACTAGCACTTTGTAACAAAATGAGATACATTATATATTTGCCGCAAAGTTTTGTTTTGTGTTTTTTCTCAAAAATAAAACCTGTAAGATATCAAGTCTACAATCCATTCAGTGTGAACTTCTTGTGTGGACCATTTCCGGCACAGAAACTATCAGAATTTGAGTTTTTAAACAGTTACAATAGAATTTTGAGACTTACTCTGATGTATTTAAGCTAATTGTCCTTTGTTAACGGCTTTCCATTAGGACTAGACAGGTATGTCAGATCTTCAGCTGTTGTAAATTCCATTAACTTCAGCGGAGCTATCCCCGTTTAAAATTAGCTGAGAATCTAGCTTATTTAAAGTTAGACAGTAATTTCTTTCACTTATAGGAGTTCACCAAATCAGTCCCTTTTTCAGTCCTTGGGAAGAAACTGGTCAAAAGAGACCCAAAAACCAAAATCTACTCAACAAGTTCAGTTAGAATATTAAGCTTAACACTAAGCTTGACACTTGTTGCTTGAATGCAAACCTTTGATGCTTTTAAGTCACCACTGTAGCAGTTGTGCATTTTAAATCCATTGGGTTCCTTTGCTATCTTAGCATAATTGGTTATGCTTCTTAGTCACAATATCTAGTGTACCAGGTGGATTTTTTGTTGTTGTTTCTTTTTGACATCCGTTTGATAAATTTCCCTGAGTCACAGCACATTATATGAATGCAGTTTGTCTTTGATCAATAAAAGTGTAAAAAAGATTTCATGTGCACTTGAACTCTGTCCTTGCATACAAACAAGGACTGCAGACTGAGGTACAATTTATTTACTTTCATTATAGTTCACACCAAATTCTGTTCTCAGGCCAAAGAGAACCTGAATAACGACATGCACGATAGTAAAACTGTGCTGCATCTTCCGCAGTGTAAGAGACAGCAACGTTCATTCAAATATTTATGTTCAGCTTCAAGCATTCCAAAATTGAAAGGGCCAGATCCTTGGTCCTGCTAAAGCTGTGTTGTGTTGCTTTCATGGCTGCTTTTCATGATTCCTCCTGTGCTGGAGAATCCTTCAGAGGCATAGAGTCAGCATAGTGGCTCCTATGCAATCCACTCCCAGCCTTTGGTACAAGGTGCATGGGTGGAGATAAAAGAGGATGTGGTCCGGTTTTCCCTATCCTCTGGCAATCACCGGTTGCCAGAATGGTCTCCTGAGCTATGCCTGGCATCTCAAGGTCAGAACTGAGGATCTGGTCTGAAAAGCTGAATGTGAAGTTTAACAGAGGACCATGTTCTGTGTCAATATGTTGCCCATCCTGCATTAGTCATTAGTCATTATAAAAACAAAGTTTTAACTGTATGTCTTAAAATAGCTTAATAATTTGTCTGCTCTTCATTAGGAAACTAGTGTGCTGATTCTAAAATATTCCCTATAGAATTACCCTATAGATATACATAATTGACCAGATGGTTTTTGCTCATATATTTCTTACGTTCTTCCATTTGTTCTGCTCCAGTACATTACATTCTACCTACATCTCCCAATTTCCATCTGCCTCGGATTTTCAAAGAAATGGTTTTCGACTGTAGGTTTGCAGCTCTGACTTTCTCTCTAAATATTGCTTGGTGTGGGAGGAGGCACAGAGTGTGACTCAGCCTCTCCTCAGCCCAAAATCTGAGACGGAAATCGGTGACGTTTCTATGTGTGAAATGACCCAACCGAATGACTAGTAAGTTAGCTGATGACTAATAACAGTGATATAGTCTAGTGGCAGAGCTGTAGCGAGCTTGGCAGGAACTAGCAAGTGGTAAAATTAAACCGACAGTTCTACAGGGCTTCCTGCTTTGAAATCCCATTCCTCGCTGCACCCTAAAGAGCAGCCAACCATCTAAGCATCCTTGGCCAGATCACGCTAACAAAAAATCTCATGAGGCTGGAAAAGCGTAGCAAGCCCATAAATGTGGGGGAATTTCTGGTGCAGGGGAGGAGGTTAGAGGGTTTTTTTAGCTCAAGTAGCATCTTCCTCCTTCAGATTCCATGGAAACCTCTTTGAGGCTCGGTGGATTTGAGCAGCATTATCCCTCCCTTTCAAAATCAGCAGATTCAAGGCTGACGCAGTCAGTATTACCTTGCCTGATTCATCTTCCATGTGCCAAACCATCTTCCATAGTTTAAGGGTGGGAATTTAGGGCAGTTTCTGGCAGGGTCTGGTTAAAGTGACGGGGAGGTGCTTTGCTGGATTTCCCTGTAGATCTTGGGATGTCTGTGCGTTTGGAGGGCTACATACTCTGCCCGGTTGAGGGAGAAAACCTGTTTTCCACAAACTGGGATGGCCCCACAGCAGCTCAAGTTTCCTGGTCCTTTTGTG